CTTGAAGTGTTTTTGTTCGTTCTGGCTCATGAGGTCTTAAGCAGATTTCCACGAAGAACAGTCCTATTTCAGCAGTCTCAAAATCAGAAGTCGAAGGGTCGATTCATGAACGAATTTGCTAAAAGCTTCTCTGAACTTCCTGATTCATTGGAACGAAGTACTACATCACCTTTGGCTATTCTTCCAGTAGTGGCTGTAGACAGTTTTCGTGACTGCACGGGCGTGTTAAATCATCCAGCGCCCCCATTAGTTGCTGGTCTAAGAAAGCAGGAATGTAAGAATGTCGAATATTCGATGTGTCTCCAAGGTTTTTCGCTATCCAACGTGCATTTGATTTCGCGTCCAAATTGCCTAATGGATAATTAATTCTACAGTTAGGAGGGGATGGGGATGATGCGCTAAATGCTTGAATGCCAAATCGCCACCTGATTTTATTATAACTTTACACCACAAATAATACATCCGCTTCTACTTTGAGGGCTCCAGCCAGGACCCTTCAAATGGGCTTTGGAGTTCGAAGTCATCCGTACAATTTCGTTCAAAGTAAGGAAGTGCATTTTTAATAATTATCGGGACGACACTGTAACTGACATTTGAATTTCCCATAAACTGGGCTTAATTAGGGGAACTGGCGTGAGTGGGGAACAAGCTGAAATCCAAAAGTGCACTCATCATGGGCCCAACATCGTTCTCGCAGCATGTTGGTGCATAAGTTCTGAGACATACGTGACAACTTTTTTCGAAAGTTTATTATTTGATATTAAACACATGGAGATTGATGAACAATAAATTCGCCCTTGCTTGCGACTGGTGTGAAGGGCTCAACGCCAAAGATCTTGAGTTCCACGTCAGCTCAGATCGGAGTTTCGAGCGCCACATCAATATTAATGTGCAAAAAGCATTCAGAGTCCTTTTTAGAATTTTCAGAAACATTCATAAAAATAGCGTCTCTTTGTTTCTGAAACTTTATCGATGTTATGTTCTTCCGATATTAGAGTATGGGTCACAGATCTGGAACCCGCAAACTAGAAACCTTCAAGAGAAAATAGAGAAAGTTCGGCAATCCTTCACAAAAGTATTGATGAACAGATGTTACCCGAGTACTACGTACTCTGCAAGCATGCCTGATTACAGAGAACGTCTACAGAGGCTTAAGCTGAAGACACTTCTCTATAGACGGTTTTTCAATGACATTGTCTTCGGCTTGAAACTTCTCCTGGACCAACTAAAGCTCAAGCCGATCAAGGACTGGGTGTTTAGGCCTTGCCTGGGACGTACTGGAATGTCCTCTCCTAAAGAAGCCAAGAAACAGTGCAGCAGGATTTGCTGGTCTTTTTCTTTCGTGGTGCGAAGTGGCTTCAGCTACTACCTGCTGAGATCCAAGAAGCTCAAAGTGTTGGTGTTTTCAAGAGAAAGTTGAGAGAAATGGATCTTTTGTTACTACTTGGCATCCCGGACTTCTGAGAATTTCGATAACTATCAGCTTTTTTGCAGTAATCCCCACCTTCCAGAAATGTACATCGATCGACTCAGAGGGAAGACAGTGATATGTGTGTCTTTTGTGTTCTGTTTTGTTTATTTTGTTTTGTGTTTTTTTGCTTTTCCTTTTATCTCACATCTTCTGCAACGTTAATTTACTGTTGCTCTAAATATTGTATCTTACGGGTTTGGTGAAGATCTTTAGACCGAATGATCGTGATGTGGTACTATAATACTCACCAAGATTTCGAGAGAATCCTAAAGGTAGATATATAAGGGCGGGTCTGAAGCTGAATTGTTAGGGCTAGGGACTACCTAACATCCGAAAATTCGGTTTCGGATTTCATATATGTATATATACATATTTCATGCTCTCTCGGAGTGGTGTTATCCCTAGCGCCATCCGCCTATTCAGTTTCATCCGCCTGATCTTGAGTGTAACTACTTTATTATTAATTTGAACAAATGTTGATCAGCCGATGTAAGGTTGGCTCGATTATGTCGTTGATGTTTTACTTCACTGTACTGTTACAGCGCACCGCTGCGTGCATTCAAATGAAATAAAATAAAAATCTCCCAGTAAAACGTCTCCAAGTAAATTCTTACCTCCTGAACTGGGCAGCCGGCCACTGCCCTTTTTCTAATATTATAAGCATAGAGTATCCAGGTTTAAACTGTTCTCAGACAAGGACGATAGGGCAAGACTAACAGGCTCACGAAGTTGAGTTCATCTGCTGTCTAAGTTTATGAGGCATTCAAATTGCGTCGACCTTTCTTGGGCCGCGATGATACTTAGGTCTCTCGACTGTTGTATGGGCTACAACGAGTGCAGTTGCTCCTCGGCATGGCAGCTTCGTATTCGATTTAAGGACTTCAAAGATTATCCTCCTTATCGGTCAACGGACTTTGAGATCAGCAAAGTTCCTAGTTAAGTATTCGAAGTATTTTCAAGCCAACAAGTAGAAAGATGGAAAACAGTCCCCACGTCGTCTTTCAGACGACTTGATCTAGGAGGTGGTCGTAGAAAAGAATCATTGGGACAATGAATTTCCAGCTTGGGTCATTTATATTGCATCCCAACGAAGGCTTTTTATTCACACCTCTAGTGGGTCATTCTGGTGCGCTCTACGTACATACGACCATGAACGGTTCCCGCAGTTTTGCAAATGGCGAGATAACTTTGGAAGTTGAAGTGTCTTGAAGCTTGTGCGCCGAAAGAATAGTATTACTATTACGATAAAACACTGCCCTCAACAAAAGAAGGGGACAATTCTCTGAACTGTCACATTTTTATAAACAGGCCACATTTTTACTATTAGTATGGAAAAGGGGGGCTGCGGAAAGAGCGGCCACTCTGATATGAGATAGTGCTGGCAAAAGTTAGCGCCTCATAGGTAAGCCATCGAGCAATTCGGTTGTAAATATCACCATTGAATTTGATGAAGAGATCAACTGGTGTACAATCGCTCTGAGCTATTCAAATGCTGCCTCGAATCCCATCGAAAAAAAAACCGGGGCGAACCATTACGGCTTCTAAACGTACTAACTTTCAGGGAGAATCTTCTAAATTGCGGCCGATTCTTCGTTCACAAAACCCTGAAAACCAGTTCCCATAGACATTCCAGTATGTTGGGATCGAACAGTACTTCAGTGTAATGATGACGTGTCCTTCTGCAAGGCCAGCAGTAGACGGTGTCAAGTAATGAACTGAGAATAATGGCCAAAAATGTCCCAGAACCTGGGATTTGGTCCGCTCACTTAGCCTTCATTACCAGAAACTCAAAGAGAAAATCAGTTTTCTTAAAGGCGTTCATTTCAAAATAACCATTCCGATGTTATTACCTTGTTACTGGGACTGCAGTTTACAACTTGGGGTACTAACTCAGCTGTAGTAAGTGGCACTTGTCAATGCTTTACTTGAATGGTGTCAATTAATCCAGATTGAACGACCCCGCACCACCTGCATCGAATGCATTCTCCCAAATGAAACAATCCAGTAGTCGTGTATAGACGAAAGCTTGGCGATCGCAGACTGCTGAATTCATGGACTAGCCATGACGCGGAGGAAGACGTTCGTTTCCGTTCAACTGGTCATCTTCATCAGTGGTTGCTTGGCGAGTGAATCGACTCGGAGTGGAATGTCAACAAATAGAGCAAGATTTCGTGTCATAGTACCCTCATTGAAATGAAATTGCCACCAACCACATGCAAACCAAATACAATCCCATCTCCCTATATCAGTTTCCATTCGAAGGAAAGAAAAATGTGAACGACGTTTTTCGTGATCAACCAGAATGAGGATGACCGATGTTTGTCTGTGGAATTCAAACGCAGCTTTCAGCACTGAACCTAAGAAAGTCCAGGTGCGCTAGAACCTGAGAGAATCCAGATTCGCTGATGGTAAGGTGAAACGGGTTATCAGTTGTTGGAATGGTGCCAATCCAACTTGAAACTGAAGGTTTTGAAAGCTGTTGCCACTTACAACCATTAGAAACCACCTCTGTTGCGAGGCATTTCAAGGCCCATTAGTTTTCCGATGTCTCGCAAACAGTAACCAGATTAATAGTGATGCCAGGATTCGGACAAAGGAGTGAGGAACACACGGAAATCAAAATAACATTTGCTCGCTACCATCATGTAGGGGGTTTCAACTTTTTCAGATTTTACTCATATTCATATCAGAAGCTTCCTCTCTTTTTTCCTTTCCTCTACACTTCTGCTCTGTTTTCCTCAGACCAGCCACCGAATCGCAGCCGTATTCAGAAACGTCATCTTTTGCAACATACAGGCCAATCTTCACAATGAACAGTTCCTGAGCAAGAAAGATGAAAGACGGAGCTCTCTTTCTTCAAAGCGGTCCCCGCTTCTCAGCGAATATTCTCATGAGTCAGTGATGAATCTCGGATCATTGTCGAACATACAGCCTTGCTCTGCTTTGTCTGCATGTAGAGCAGCTGTTACTGCATGTGTGTTACACCCATCATAACTCATGGGACGTCGAGGCGTATTCACGAAAAGAAGGGCTTTTTGATGGGCCGTGAAAAGGACAGCAAAGGAGTCGTACCCTGCCAGAATTTGTAACTTTCAATTTGAATTCAATTCAGGGCGACGTCATAGTGCTGCGGTAACTTTAGCGCTGTCACGTGGGCGGAGTAAACGCCAGTATTTTGTGCCTCTGTGCCGCCTCCGTGACCGCCGCAGCTGTGAGTCCCCCATCCCATGTGTTCCTCATCCCAATTCACCACCCTATCTGCGTTTAGCCTGTATTTGGTCAGATCTACATGGGCACTCATCTGTCCGATCCCGTCGATTTCAGGTCAGTCCATTCGCACTTTATTCTGTCGTGCAGCACATCATTCGAACGAGTTTAGGTGTAACCATACGCAACAAAACCTGCCCCGATTTCAAGGCCGATCCGACATTCATCTATTGTTGCACATCGAAATTACCCCCCGCTACCGGTATTTACAAAGAAAAACATAGCATTTATTGTTGCTCTCTGGCAGATTTCGAGAGAGAGCGCCAAGAGCTTGCCACCGCGGAACTTCACAACTTCATTAAACAGTGAGTGGATTGATGTCTCTACGATTTAAAGCCTCTCTAACTTTGTTTTCGTAGTCCATGCGTTTCTAAAAAGCCCCACAATGACGCTGCAGACACCATCAGAGCCTTGCCTATTAATTAGGAACCAGCTATTTGAAGACAACTCTCTCTTTCTCCGCCCTTGCCTTCCGATTGCCCCCCAGCAGTCGGCTGCAATTTGCATGATAATGCATGCAGTCCTGTCCTTCGCCATTGAAGTCGTGAACGTGAGAAATGACCGACAGTAGGTGAATCCTGCTTCCGACCAGCTTCCCTTCCCTTGCAACATCGCTCTATCAGCTGAGATTTGAATCGATGTGCTGCTGAGAGGAGGATTGATGCCGCAGTGGCGAGTTTTCGTCTTGATGGCGACACCAAACCTCTCTGATTAGCTTCCGATCCCTGTTATCGTATATTATCAACTGAATTAGGTTCGATGCTGTGTATATGGCGCGGATTGGAGCAACACGTATCCATTAGCTTGTTACTACTCTGTTTTCATAACAAACAATATTCATGGCTCATGATATCTGTTGGGATGTCTGTGATGAGGTTTCAAAACATTGCTAATTGCGACAAGCCTAAACCATTAGTGTCGAGTAGAAAGTAGAAAGACGGCGAACGGCGGCGCTATTTGGTGTAGATTTGCAGAACCAGCAACTATTACACGATTGTTACTGGCAAAATGCTCCGCTAAAGCTTCGTTTCCTGTTGTTCGATCTGATCGGCCGGTTCCATAAACAACTCCGGCATTAGTTGATCCCAATGCATTGTTGTTGCTCCAGTTGGGGGACGAACGAGTACGAGAGGGAACTCAATCAAGCATGGACTGTTTCAGTTTCATTCTTTGTGTAGTGCAAATGCACTCGTTTAATAACTGATGAGTTGAAGAGACCGAGAAAGGAAGAGAGGACGTCCAATGAACGTCTTAATTACACCATGAAGTGGGATGCAGTCGTTAAAAATTGACTCATTTCGGTTGAGGTGTTCCATCCGGAGGAAACATCACTCAACAGGGGCTGAGCAGGTGGATTTCCGATTTTGTTTGCACTGTGGTGCCTTGGCGAAGATCCCCGCATATACCAACTCACATGGTTCTAACAAATTTCGATGTTACTTCGAATCTACTTTTGATTCCTCACTTTCCTCTTCTTCACGAATGCGCTATCCATCTTTCTAGCTGATAAAGCTCAGAGGTATGGCTCGATGTAAAAAATTGTGGAGGCAAAATTACCGTTGCTTAAGAAGAAGCTGTACTGAACATTCTGTCGGGTGCTGTGACGAATGATGGATGGCTTCCGCTTAAGGCATTTTTGTCTATTTGCCGTTGCACATACATAATTGCCTATTTTCCTACGGACGGACAGAACAATTTGCTACAGATTATGAATAGCACGGGGACACGAGATTTCTGTAGCTGCAGGATGAGCAGAGCAATGTTTACTCAACTAAAGATTGCGTGGTCCCTCGCTAAGATCAAGCAATAACTCCATCAAAAGGATTCGAATGAAGACTTACCTCCTAGGCTCCCCCATGCCTCCTCCAGGGCAAATGGTTAGCAGGTGATAACACTTCAGACTTATGGGTTTCACTTAGTCAGTCAGTTGAAACTCAAAAAGTACTTCACCTTTGTCGATACGGTTAGGTTACTCGAACAAAATTCGACTCTCCAGAGATTCTTGGAGATCATAGGGAACAGGGTGTATGGTCAGTCGCAGTCTATTAAATTTTGTCGGGATCTGCGTGCTGGAAGACGGAGAGTTGAGTCAGGACTCTGCTCTTCCTTGTTCAATCCCTTATTACATTACCACACAAGCCCTCCCTCAGTCCCCACATCTTCTTTATATCTAAGAGAACGAGAAACTTCATGGGATAATCAAAAGAGGAGCAAATGCTCACAACTGATTTGTCTCCCATGATCTATGACGGATATGGTATTCATTCAGGGTCCCCTAGTTTGAAAAAAGGTTTCGAAAATAGAGTTGGGCCATTTTTAAATGGTATAATCAATAACGACTCAGTTACCTAGTGTAGCAGATAGTTCTAGTCCAGTAATTGATAATTAGTGCTTTCTTCCTTTCCAAACCAAAAAGTGGCAGAAGCAAGTACAAGTTAGAGGTTGCTGAAAAACTTCTTCCCGCTCTGGGCACCCAGCACAACTTTATTGCTACCCTCTGTAGCCTGTGCTATTTACCAGTCATAATTGCTATATTCGAGAGATAATAAGAGCAGAGTTCTACTACAGCGCTTTCATTACTTTTTCGATTCGCTTTAATTTGGAATTCTCCCAAGTTGTGGTCAGATTGTGTTAAGAGGATGAAATGGCTGCAGTGAGAAGGGTCCTTGTCTCAACTTCATGAGAATGTAAAGCTTGGCCTAACCAGATCAATGATCAGTTCGCATAGAAGCTTGATCCTTCTCCTTCCTTGATTTTTGCTCATCTTCCTATCTTGCTCTGTACAATTGTACAGCTGTTACAGAGCCCTTTCTATGGATTGTAGCATTTCCCTCCTCGCAACTGGGGCAGCTCCTTTGTTCTGGGAGATTCAGAAGCTTAAGTGCTTGCTGCACAGCACAAAGGGCGGATTACTCATCGGTCGAAGAGTAGTAACTGCTAATGAAAATAGCCCTGAACGTTCTCCCTGTCCATCGTTCCCATGTCTCAGTCCAGTAGTTCGCCTAACGAAATCTTCTCTGTTCTCGTGAAGACAATAATGCCGCAGAAAAAACGCTTCATAACAAGACACTCTGTTTGCTTTACGCCTTTTGTTCTACACGACGACAAAACTCGCTTGAGCGCGCTGACGAAAGCCGATAACAAGTAGTACTGGGCAGTAGCAAGCTACAATCACTCGGGCAAGCTTCAAATTTCCGTCAAGCAGCAGCGGGAGAGCTTCGTATAAACCACTTTTGTATACATTCCTGAAGGCCTTCGTGCCAGTCCAGCTTCAGCCGATCCAAACTCCCATTCCCACCTGTTACTTATACCTGAAGAACAAGAAATTTTATGGGTTGTTTTAAAGAGGAACAAGTGCTCAAAACTGATCCATCATTCCTGATTTATGACGGTCTGTTATTCATTCAAGCCGTAGCAGCTGAAGAATAGGCACCCGGTTCATAAGAAGATGAGATAGATGCAAAACATTGCTGAAAGAGATGTTGTTTTACACATATTCCGGTCAATATACCTATTCTGAGGGTATGAGGTGGCTTGAATAGAATCGAAATCGCAAGTGGGCGCTTCTCCTGAAGGGATACTGGATGTCTAGAAAGCAAAGGCATTTCCTTTCACCATCCACAGACTTAATTACTGTCAATTTCCTTAATGGGAGAATTCGTTCCCGAAAGTGGTTCTGTCGCCTTTTGGACTGCTTTCATATCTTCTCATCCTTCCCCATGAAAAGCAGAAACCTCTTTGGGATAGTGTCCATTTTTTAGTGCAAACTTTGCTCTCGGGAAGTCCGGACAACTCCTGGAATGAGCATATAGCCCAGAGCCATATAAATTTGCATTTTTATTCATCGAGTAATTCCTGCCTTTGGAATACGTTCTATAAAAGAAGGAGTGCTGAATTAACAATATTACTCTTCCGCGGACTGGAGCAGGGAGTTTGTGCCGAGAGCTCGAAGAGATTAAACGTAAGCCTTTTGCCGATCACACGAACTCTTTCGAAATGTAACCGAAATAGCAGAAGTAATCCATGGATTGACAGAACGTCCTTCACTTGCTTCTACGATTGTCACTTGTCGCTTGAATTTCATCGTTCTATTGACAACGACGACCCTGCATATGGATGAGTTTGATCTTTCTTGTGTTCTAATCAGATCAATGCTTAACATTGTATTTCGGTGGCACTTTCCACAACGCCGGTGAACTCGTCCGCTTCTGGGTGTGGCATACAACTGACACAAACTTTGAGCTCCCATGACTACCTATCAAGATCGTTTTAAGATTTGAAAATGCCATGTATCGTTCAGAGGCAGATTCGTCCTAGAGCATATTTTAGAGCCATTTTTACCGTGAACTGCCTTTAAACAATCACCTTCGTGCGTCACGAATATCATAAAGCACTTATGCACGTTACATTTTACGATGGTCGTAACTCATGGTGCTTTTGCACTGGCCGCTTGCATATGGTCAGAAAGAAGAGGGAAACATCATGCGGACTACGGAGAACGCGAGCTTTATAGCCATCTGTTCTGCACTCTCTCTTCGAAATGATTCAGTTTTCAGCCACGGCATTCTTCGATGGGAAGGTGAGCAAAAGTCACGGATTCGCTCCACTCCGATCACGTTCAGCTGAATAGTACGCCAAGGTGGCCAAGAGGGTGCCAAGGGGGTGCATCCACTCTTAGGCGTCCTCACTCCTAAATCTCATACCTTTGGAAGTCCAGCTCCCGCTAATTAATTTGCCCTAATCATTTCTAACGTTAGATTATTTTTTGCACTCCACCCGCTTCGAGCAAGGTTGTCATTTAACTGACGGAAACCACTTAGGGGAATCGAGAAATTCAATCATGGCGTGTGTCGTTCTACCAAATCGCCCATATTTGGCCTGCTTGTCTTAATTCGACTTTGACATGTGAAGCAGAACGGAAACGAGGGAAGCGAGAAATTGCGCGTAGGAGAAGTCACAGAGTTGAAATAATGCCTCAGGGCAGGTGGCTCAAGAAGCAGCCACGAAGAGGCACTGAATTTCAGCGGATTAGAATGCTTGTCGTCGAGAAACCATCGGTCACTTCCCACGTAGCTCACAAATTTAAATCTTTACTAATGAGGACTCTTTCGTTTTATGCAGACTCTTTCGAACTTTCAGATACCTTGCGGTGATCATCATCGGCACGTTGATCGCCTTCGGGCTGACGCTCACAGTCACGTCACTAGTGTGCAAGCGGGTACGAAAATGCCCTCTCTATCAAGATCGGTCCAGTAAGTAGTTTGGAAGCGAGACGGTGCGCTAACCGGTTGATATTTTCGAAGATTTCAGTGCTTTCCCACTCAGTGCAAGCGGCGACAATGTACCGGCCGGTGGACACGATACCTCCTAAGGGATACGAGGGTGAGTTTCTCCTTTTTCTATGCCTACACTCTGCTTCCCTCATTCTTCCTTGCCCCCCTCCTCCCAGTTCACTACGTGAAGGCTCAAGCCCTAACCGCCCGATTCGGTTGTTTCTCTGCTTTTCAGCGCGAGAATTCGCATGCTATGGAAGCATTTTTATTTGTTACAACAGCCGATCGGCCTAGGCTCTTGCTGGGCAGCACGAATTACTTAAGAGCGCTGTGCTGAGCTAACAAACATGTCCCTAGAGGCCTCTAGCCACGCCTTCACTTTGTTTCAAATACTTTTCACTGGAATCTGAGGGCGAGAGAGTTCAAAGAAACGATTGTTGGCCTTGGGTAAAATGCTCTGGACTACGATGGGTAAAACATTATAAAAGATGCAAATGGGAAGGAAACACCATTGACTGTTATTTTCAATAGCCAAAAAGGCGAAACGCGTATAGGATATGCCATGAGTTCGCTACCATTGAGGAGTGCAATTGTATGATATGAAGACATAGAAACAAGTGTAGGTCACTGTTGAGCCCTTTCACTTCAACACCCCCTCTGCAGACGAAGGTTTGATTTTTGAGATGTGAACAGTTCGTCTACCCCCGATTCGAATTATGAAAATGGTTGGTTCCTATGGCAAGCTACAGTGAAGCTGAACCTTCTGTTACTAAAATGTTGTGCAGTCCGGGAAGCTTAGTGGCTCTTATTTCGCGGCTACCCGAAAAGGGCATGACACCGAACTAGTACTACCGAAAAATCCTCGAGAACACTCAGCATTTCTCAACAAACTAGTTCACGGTCTGCTAGTAAAGTGTGGGAGTGTCTCTGGGGACGAAAATGAATTACGAACAGTGCAATGCTCTAGATGCTCAACGAGAACTCTCATGGGGACACATTTAGCTATCAGTGCCGAGCAAGTAATGGAATTTCAAGCTCTTTTCTCAACACCGTTACCGCGTCGGCGCTTCACCCCTCGTTTCTGTCTTATCGCAGCTTCGGCAGTCTGGCCGGGATTATTGGATTACCGGACGATGGCGCCGTCATCGAATTCTCCAATCTACACACAGCCACACTTGCACATTCACAGTGCAAAAGTTTCAAATCGAATTCCGCCGGCGGCTGAGAATCAGTCACGCGAAATTCGCTTGAACTGCATTTAATTGAGCGCTGGTCTCTTCTTTGCTCTTTTTTCGCCCAGATCCACCTACTGTAGTTGTCTTTTGTTCGGAGACTTTCTGCGGGGCGATTGAAGATTGTTTTGTCTTGTGATTAATGATGCATCTACAACTTCGAAAGATCTGATCGATTGCATGGGTAACTCTTCATGAACGGAGCTATCTGGTGAAATACATTTGGGATTAAAAGGAGGCTCATGAGATGTCCAGCTGGGATAAGTCTGTGGCCTCTTTGCATGCCATACGTGGCGCTGTCAGGTCGAAAAACAGCTTAGATAGCGCTTTATTAAGGCTCAAAGATTGTCCCGTGTATATGCGCTGTATATGCGCGGACGAACCTCCACGACATTGTAGAGGCTGCATCTTTCACGAGGGAACTCAGTGGGAGGTCCCAAGAATTCGCCATGACCCATAATGACAGTGATAGGCAATTCTGGACAGTTTTGGCTTAATGTAGTGAAAGCTCTTTGTGCAATTGCAACAACTGAAATCCTGTCCAAATACCCCTTCTATGTGATTTTCGTCATGGTAATCTCGTACAACCTCTATTTCCACTACCATTGAGGAGCCTTATTGTCACAAAATCGGCAAATTTTGTCGCTCCCTTCACCACCTATGCACTATTCCCAACCAGTACATCCATTCTTTGACTTGAAAAGAGCACTTCAAAGTTATCGTGAAATGTACCCTTAAACTCGTTTTCGTCTCTATGGGTCTTTATTAACGTGAAGGCCTAAATGAGTTTAAGGTCAACTTTTCATTCTAAGCAGGTCTCTTACTGTGTGAATAAAAATCAGCACGAAAGGAGAAATCAGGGAAGGAGAGGTGGAAAGATGAAAAACCCTAAACATTCCTGAATGGCGGCGCACCAGTACACCCTTCTTACTTCTTAGGTTGGCATGTCTAGTAAAGGCATGTCTAAATGTATGTTCACAGCTTGTCCACGATCGCTTGCGAATTGCAGTGAAGGTTATTCATCCCTCCTTAAAAGCCTTCCAATCTTACATATACATTTCAGCTCCTCCGCCTTATGAATGTTGCGCTGCGCCGCCACCGGATCAAGATGGACACGAATGGAATCGCATTCTAGAGAATGAAGAGAACGTCTCAAGAAATCTCGTTCCTCTTCCCTGAAAACACTGTACTGAAGCCAGTTTCGTGGTAATTATCGTGCAGCCGGACATTTCCATTGCTCTACAACAGCTACGGGTTCACTACCAGTGATTCGTTCAATACCTTGGTTAATAGTATGATAAGTCTAGGGCTTTTTCCTGAATAGTTTTAATTTGATTCGCTTCGGAGTTGCTTTCGTTTTTTATGTATGCCACTTCCACGCAGAGCTTGTCTGCCATCAGACATCGATGAACTTCTGCCGCCATGATTTCAGCAGGATCCGCTATCTTTGGCGTTCCTTTCACTGAAGATTCCATGCTGCATCTGCTAACTTATTTCTATTCTTTCACTTGAGCCTTATCGTATGAATGTGCGTCTATGTTTCTATGGAATGAATATTGCTGCTTGTCTTTCAGCGATTTTGGATTTCAGAAAAGTAAAAACGCGAAGAAGAACAAGAACATCCAGACGTTCTCTCCAAAAGGGCCATAAAAAGTGTGACAGAATCCACAACAGTGACGTTTTTGTATGCTATTCCCTGGAGAGACACTTGAATGGCCTGAGTGACAGCTGCAGCTCTGGCGACCAAGCAAAGAATTCATTTTGGCATTCGTCATGTCGGATTTCGCGCTATCCCATGGGGCTTCAATTGTGTTTACAAAGCGAGATGGAATGCCAAAGCAGCTTGTCAGTCGTAAAAAAACCACTAAGGGTCTAATTTGAATTGTGTGGAGAGCGGAGGAATGCGGTCAATAATCAGAGAAAGCTACCATCAGGTTACTGTAAGGGAGTTGGGTCGCAGTATTTTCGTGGAATTTGTTCTAAAATTCTAAATTACTTCGCCATGCCTTGTTTTTATGTTCATTTTTGATCGATCCACAGTCTTCCCAAGTTATGGGAGCTAAGAGTTAACCACGATTCGAACTTCAAGGAGCCGAATTTCTCTCGTTGGTGATCAATTCCATTTTGGCATACGCCTTCCCAACTTACTTCCATTCAAGATCGGAATACCGTTTGAATGGTACTTGTATATGGCCAGCGGCATATACAAGTACCATTCAAATATATTATATTATATATATATTTGAATGGTACTTGTATATATATTATTCAAATATATTATATTATATTATTATATTCATATACGGCAGCGTTGGGTAGGACCGCTCGGGAGAGGCTGCTAAAATCTCAGGGCCAAAACAGGCTGCCCAAAAGGAGAAGGACTAAGATGGCGATCTGTACTTTCAACGCACGGACGCTTGCATCGGAAGCGTGTATAGAAGACCTGATGATGCAAGCTAGGAAGATCAAGTACGACGTCATCGGACTGACCGAGACGAGAAGGCATCGCCCGCTGCACGCTGTATTTGAGACTGGAGAAGAACTGTTCCTTGGAACATGCGACAGTAGAGGCGTCGGCGGCGTAGGTGTCCTCGTCAATACGCACTTGGCCATGAACATCGATTCGTACGAAAGCTTAACAACCCGAATCGGACGTTTGCGATTGAGAAGATGCGGCTCAATCCCAGCTCTAACCATCTTCGTTGCTTACGCACCAACATCGAGCTACGAAGAAGAGGAGTTGGAAGCGTTTTATATGGATCTGGAGAGGCTCTACAGAGAAGACCACACTTTCTTCAAGGTCATCGTCGGTGATTTTAACGCCAAGATCGGCCCCAGAAGAACGGCTGAAGAGCTTCACATCGGGACTCACGGAGTGGAATGGAATGAGCAGGGTGAAAGGCTGTCCGAGTTTATCATGACGACCCACACCATCCATGGTAACTCGCAGTTCCAGAAGCCCTCTCATTTAAGATGGACATGGGAGTCACCTGGTGGACAGTTCCATAATGAAATAGACCACATCATCTTCAATCGGAGATTTTGCCTGACCGACGTCGCTGTTGTTCCGAAGTTCTACACGGGATCGGACCATCGACTCCTCCGCGCTAGATTCTGCTTCTCAGTGCGTGGGGAGAGAGCTATGAAGTTTCGGAAACGAAGCCCCAAGACCTCCATCAACTGGGATCACTTCGCTTCCCTTGCGAGTAAATGGGAGGATTCCGTTATCGACAACATCGACGAGGAATACAAC